TTAAAAGTGCTTTAAAGCATATCTTTAAGTATATTATGTGTCAAATATGTGACATATAAAGTATATTAAAGTATATGCATGTATAATATGTATATACTAAAATGTGTCTGAAGCATTTTGAGTACCTATTTTAAGATTCTGTCCTCCCACCATTCCTTTGTGCGTCTTGGCTCATCCCATTTTAGCTGATGGCAGTGGATTTTAGTCTGTTTCAGAGTGGTAATGATTATAGGGATGACCATGGATGTGAGTGGAGTGACCTGGGTTGAGCTGTGAGGATAAAATCCCCATTCTTTCCCTAATTATCACCACACTCGGCTCAGAACAGTGATCCTTCCTAAGGCCATAAGAGCTTTATACAAGTCTAGGGATGAATAGGAAAAGAAAGAAAAATAGTATCTGTGTGATCCTGTTAAATAAAGGCAAGCAAAGGTTGGCTAAAAGGGATTATGAAGCCCATGAAAGAATTCCATGTTCTCTCAGAAATAAAAGTACTAAGTGTTTGATTCTTGAAGAAATAAGCAATTTAAAAATACACTTAACGTTAACACTGGGGGAAGCTGGGTGAAGGTTGCCCAGGAACTCTAGTTCATTTCTTTGTACCTTCCTATTACTTTATAATTATTTCAGAATAAAAAGTTATTACAAAATGTAAGTGCACTGAGAATTGGGAGCTAATATTTTGACTACCTGGGAGTAAGAATTAAAGATTATATGTGCACAAGCAAACAGGTAAATCTCTATTAGAAGTGTCTACAAAGAATATACTGCCAGGGTGATTTAAAGTTTTTCTTTGTGTCTTTTTTTTAACTGCCTCAGAATCTATAATACTTTTCCTGGCAGAGGATTTTCATCGTGTAATGTAGGCACGAGGCCACCAAAGCATTCCCTAAACCATTTGTTGACAGTTTTTTTAGAGTGGTTGTAGATGTTTGGGTGTCATTTTTCTGGGGCAAGATATCATTTGACACCTTGGTTGCTCCATATGGAGATATGGCTGGAAAATGATGAGTTGAGTAACCCAGCCTGCGATAGTCATCTGCTTCGAACAGCTCCATCCATTTTTCCTCTCATCTCCAATATTCAGAGCTTAGTCGATAAGAACAAGGTATATATAGTTGTTTTTTTTTTTTTTAAATAATTTGTTTGTGAAAAAGAAAGACCAACTATAGCTGGCACATGCTTCATGCTGGGATCAACTTATTTCATTTCAAACTGTGCACAGCTCTAATAAATAAATAAATACAGTTTATGTTCCTGCTTATACTATTAAATATTGTTACCCAAATAATTCCAGTCTGCCTTTATTATACAGTGAGAAAAAATAGAATGAGGAAAATTTTATAATCCTAAGCATATCTCAAAGAGTATAAAAAATCCCAACTGTATTTCTAAAGAACTTTTTAATGGGCATCTTCATAAATATCAACATAAAGTTGGGCATCTCAATAGAGTCTATGTTATGTATTTCTGTGATAGGTGAAATGTGAGAGGAAGGATGTATCTGCATCTGGGATATTCCACATGAGCCCTCTCTAAGCAGCACCCCCAAAAATTTGCTTCTAGAAGCTCACCGTAGATGGTTTATTTTTTTTAATTGTTGTTCAGTCACACAGTCGTGTCCAACTCTTTGCAACCCCATGGACTGCAGCACACCAGGCTCCCCTATCACTTCACTATCTCCTGGAGTTTGCTCAGACTCAAGCCCATTGAGTTGGTGATACTATCTAACCATCGTATCCTCTACCACCTCCTTCTAAGTTTGCCTTCAGTCTTTCTGAGCTTCAGGGTCTTTTCCAATGAGTTGGCTCTTTCATCAGGTGGCCAAAGTATTGGAGCTTCAGCTTCAGCATCAGTTCTTCCAATGAATATTCAGGGTCGATTTCTTTTAGGATTGACTGGTATGATTTCCTTGCAGTCCAAGGGACTCTCAAGAGTCTTCTCCAACACCACAGTTCAAAAGCATCAATTCTTCACCGCTCAGCTTTCTTTATAGTCCAGCTCTCACATCCATACATGACCACTGGAAAAACCATAGCCTTGACTATATGGACCTTTGTAAATAAAGTGATGTCTCTGCTTTGTAGTATGCTGTCTAGGTTCATCATAGCTTTTCTTTCAAGGAGGAAATTCATGGCTGCGGTCACTGTCCATAGTGATTTTGGAGCCCAAGAAAATAAAGTCTGTTACTGCTTCCACTTTTTCCCCTCTGTTTCCATGAGTTGATGGGACCAGATGCTAATCTGTTACATGGGGAGGAGGGGTAGGCAAAATCTGAGAGCATTTTAATTAGATTAAAAATGGGATGAAGAATACTTTTGGAAATAATGATTGTATTTGTTGTCTTGATGGTGGTGATGGTTCAAGGGTATCAAAACTTACAAATTGTTTTCTTTGAATGTGTACAGTTACTGTATGCCAATTATACCTCAATTGAAAAAAAGTAAAAAGGAATGCATGGTAGTAATTAAAAAAAAAAAGCAATGGGCTTATATGATTTTGGCAGTCTTTGGAAACCTCAGAAGTGAGTTTTTGCTTGATAGAAAAGCTCATGTGGATTTCCATTTTTTAATTGTGACCATGTGGATCATAATTAGCTGTGAAACATTGAAGAAAGCGAGGAAATGCTTTCACTGGGTATTAGTTGCTTAATATGGTTAATATGGAGCCTTGGATGAATCTTAAAATAATTGTCAACACATTTCACAGTCATTCTTTTCCTTTTGTCCTCGGATTTTTGGATCAGGATTGATGCCTGAACACTGTGTTCCAAGATACACACTTGCAGTTCTACTTAATGAGTGAATAGCCATAAACTTATTTCATATTAATGAGAGAATTCTAACTTCTAGAGGACATGTCTGATGTTTCATTAAAAAATAGAGTAAAATTTCACCCATATATTTTAACTTACATTAGTGGGTGCCTTTCATCCAAGGACTTTTCAAAATCACCTAAATGTCCAAAGCCAGTAATATACCATCTCCCAGTTTGACAGGTGCAAGAAAAGAGATTTAAGTGATTTCCAGGGACCACAGAGCAATTCTGTGACTGCAAATCTGTGTGTGTGTGTGTGTGCGTGTGTTTGTGTATGCAGATGCATGCTTGCTGTCTGTGCATGTGAGTGTATGCATGGTGGGCGATCAGGCAAGGTACAGACAAAGCTGACCTCACTTCTTTGAGTTTGTTCCTTGTTGAATTAAGTTTTCTTCTTAATGGACTAACTTTGCTGTTCCCCAAACCGGCCAGATATTTTCATGAAAAGGTATCGTGGGCAGTCACAAAGACCAAGCAACAATATGCCACATGACTGGAGAAGAAAATAATATCTAACAAGACTTTCCATCCCAAACTCTCTCCTCTCCTTGCCCTTACTTTGGGGTGTGGTTACTATTTGCAAGGCTTTGGGGTATTTATTTTGATTCATCTTGGTTTAACACATACTCAGCATCTATTAACACTATAATATGTTGCAAACTTGTGCCAAAATCTCTACATGCGTTTAATTACATGATCACCATGGCATTGAAATATGGGTGCTAAAACTAGGCTTGCTGGGTTTAAACACATTGTACAGGGTTAAAGAGGTGGCAAGTAGTGGAGTCTGGATTTCAAAGTGGAACATTCAAGGCAGGCAGACCTGGGTTCTCCAATTAGCCATGCAACCTGGAACACGTTATGTACTCACATTTGAGACTTAATGCTCTCATTTATGAAAGAACTATAAAGTTTGCAGGGTTCTTTGGTGGATAACTTTAGAGCTAAAACTTCAACATCAGTTGTACGATCTCCGTTTAAATCACTTAGCTGTTCTGAATTTTAGTCAACTCTCTTCTGGCCTAACTGCTTCTGGACAGATGCTCTCCTCTCTCCCAGGTAATATGCTTGGCAGTTTGCTTAGTCTAAATCTGTAGGCCAGATTATGTGCCTAATGTGGTCAAAACCCTGACAGGAGAACCAAGGATAGAGGATTCAGGCCAGAGTTGGAAAACTGCTTCTTCACCCCGTTCATGGATGTTTTTTACAGTATAACAGTTTACAGGAATTCCATGCTTTTCATGAGTATCCTAATTACTTCTAAAGATTTTATAAGCTGAGCCCCAGGGTTTTCCCATTACAGTGGTAAGTGCTTAAGAGTTCTTGTAGTAAGTTTCTGCAACTTTGGTGTTTTGGGTGAGGGTTGTAATGATATTCAGGAACACTGTGTTTTCCTTTGACTTTTCTGGCATATGTTTGATTTCCTATTTGGCGCTTGTTTCAACCCTGAAATGAGAAAGGTGGGAAGGAGCAGGCTGGGCATTTTTCTGTTCCTAATTTAAAATGCTTGTCCTCGAATATCCCTCAAAGTGGCTCAGGGTTTATTTGGGGCCCTCTGTAGAGTTCTTGAGGGACCTGGAGCTCATGCAGAAAGTATGTTGGTATGGATTACAGTGTCTTCTCTGATTCTTTTGGAATAACTGTGACATTGATTTGTAGGGAAATTGCATCAAGGAGGCTTATATTTTTGCATGCAAAGCATTTTCCATCCCAATAGACTAAAGAACACTTGAAAGGTCTTTTTCACTTTTGTGAATGAACAGATAAAATATTGTGTCCTGGGAAAGCTTTTGGTTGCATAAGAAATCAATACAACCTCAGGTTAAGTGGAAATATTGGTGTGACTGTGCACTGATTTCCCATGCATCATGGGGAGTATTTTGACCTCTGGCCCACTCTCTTCCCGTTTTCCCAGTTGTCTCGTGTGTGTGTGTATGTTTTGTCCATACCGGAAATTCAAATAAAATATTTGTGAATGTGATTATACGTCTCAAATGGTGGACGAACTAGTTAGTATAGTTTTGCGGAAAATAATGTGCTGATGTAAAGAGAAGCATCTTGAGTTTGTGTTTTTTTTTTTCATTTGCCTTTATTCCTTAGCTCAGCCCTTCTCTATTGGAGATGATTGGCTTAGTCTCCTCCTGGTCTGCTGTCTCAGTCACTCTTTCCCTTCTTTCTCGCAGGAGTCGTCTCTACTGCAGACATTCTTGATCGAGAGACAACGGGGTCATACTGGCTGACTGTGTATGCCACAGATAGGGGTGTTGTTCCACTCTATTCCACTATTGAGGTCTACATTGAAATTGAAGATGTGAATGACAACGCCCCGCTGACCTCAGAACCTATTTATTATCCTGTTGTCATGGAAAACTCTCCAAAGGATGTATCTGTCATTCAGATCCAGGCTGAGGACCCTGACTCTAGTTCCAATGAAAAACTGACCTACAGGATTACAAGCGGGAATCCTCAGAACTTTTTTGCCATCAACGTCAAAACAGGTGAGGGGATGCTTGTGTGACTTTTTTTTTTTTCAGTTGTTAGTCCACCTTTTAAACTCACAACTCTGGTACTTGCTGTATCCTTTTATTTATTTCATTGTGTGGAGAAGAGCATCCTTCTTTCTGGAAACAGTTTCTGAAAAGGTGAATGTTCTACCAGTCTGTTTCGGTATGTTTTAACCTCAGCTGAATGGAAGTAAAGTGATCTAACAGAAATTAAGAGGCTTTCTCAGGAAGCCTTAGGTTTGCTTTAGTCATAATTATAAAAAAATGTCTCCCAGACCATTCAGAGAGCTGGCTGCTTGCTCTGTCTTTCTTAGGAGAACATAACCTAAGCTATGCTGAGTTCTGTGGCTATCTGGTTTTGTGATGCCTCTCCTTCTAAACTCCTCCCTCGTTTGGCCTTAATCCAGCTCACTATAAATAATCTCCTTAAAGCCTTAACTTTAAGCCCCAGATTGTTGTGATTTCTGTACTACCCATCAATGAAGTGTTATGTTTAGAAGAACTTCCAGTATCTAAATCTTTACATAAAACACATATTTTTAATTTTCTGGGTTTTTGCTTAAAAAGTTTCTAGAGATTGCTGAAGACTGTACTTGCTGGCTACGGATCGGAAAGGGCAGGCGTGGAGTTGGTTGAATGCATTCTGAAGCAAGTATATAGCACTAGAAAAAATGCTTTGTGGAGTAAATCTCAGAAGTTTGTTACTTTCTTGTGATTTGCCTCTTTTTGATATGTACAAGCGATTGAAATACTCAGTGAGAGCCGAGATGGATACAGTTTTAATTAATTGAAATTTAGAAGAATGTAAAGATATTATTGCTGTTTCCCTCTGGGCAAGTTGATGTTGGTCAAAAGTTAGGCTGGGTGATGGAAATGTGTTGGTGGGGACGTGTTCTGCTTTCCTGACAAAGTCCTGATGAAGTTGATAGTTATTTTTCCTGCCTGTGTTTGTTCAAGTAGAAACATGCAGCTGACCCCAAGCATTTTATAAGTGTCAGATTCCCACTAGCATAATTTAAAGAGAATGCCAAGGGTTTGGTTTTTTTTAACTATTGATTTTTTTTTCTATATATAATATGAGTAGTTTAGTCATTTTGTTAAGCAGAATTCAGCATTTGAATAGCTTTGAATCCGGATCCAACCCTGATTTCCTTAGAAGACAGAATAGTCATCAGCCATCAGTGTCTGACTGAGGCCTCCCTGAACGCGAGGGAGGACCCGGAGAGCTGGAGCCATGCCCATCCCTTCAGCACCCTGTTAGACCCAAGCATGTGAGGACACCGCCCTCCTGATTCACTTCTCACTCTAGCCAAGGACTCTGCAATACTGTGGAAGAGAAATGAACTCAAATACTTCAGCAAATTAAGAAAAAGAAAGGACAAAGACAAAAAACGTCACAGAAAAGAAGTTGAGGACATGGCCATCTCTGCATTTCCCAGCCCCTGTGGAATCTGAAACACCCCAGCTAGATTCTGAGTTTTTTCTCTTGATTCCATTGGCATTTGAGTCAGTGAGGGTAAATCCAGTGCCCTCTTTTACAAAAGACACTGCTCAGGGCCAATGTCAACTGGTCTCTTCCTGCACTCGTGGGCTGAAATTAAGGGAAGAATAAATGTCACAGGGAAGAATTTGGGTTGGAGGTGAAGAGCATAGAATGAACATTATTTGCAGAGAAGAACATGTAGACTCCTGTAACTAAAGATGTCTTTTATAAAGCTTTGAAAAGTCTATGCATAAATTTTCGGAAAGTCCTGTATCATCAAAATTTGGACTGCATTACATGATAGGAACCTTCATCATAGTTATAATTTCCATGTCCTTGTTGTAGATTTTTAAAAAGGATTTGTGCCAGGAATGACATTTTAGACCAACTTTTCTAATAGTCTAAAAGGAATGCATGGCACACTCTGTAATTCTCAGACACATGATAAGAAAACATTGGATTTTGTTTCTCCATTTAGTCACTCACCAAGCATGTACTGTGCCTTCTGGTTTACAAACAAGATCTAATATATAGAGTTATAAACTTAGGAGATGGCCCAAGCTTATCAGGGACCCAAAGGTAAATGAAGTTAATAACATGACAAACATTCACGGTGGAGTGAAAGTAAAGTGAGAGGGTGGGCAGGTGAGGGTGGTGGTCAGGGAGTACTTCATGGAGGAGGTGACATTTGGGGTTCGAAGTCCTGGTTTTCAGAACCTTGCTCTGTACATCTAACTGGGAAGCACCATCAATTGCAGAGAAAAATGTAGACTAAATCAAACTCTCTGTGCTTTATGAGCTTGAGCAAGTTATTGAACCTCTCTGAACTTCATTTTTTAGTGAGAAAGGATTGTTGCAAGGGTTAGAGAGGTTCTCATGTGAAGTGATTACCACAGTGGCTGGCACATTGAAACTGTGCGGAGAGAGTTGATACCCCATCCTGACTGCTGTAACTTGATTACAGGCACACCATTTAATCTCCTAGGGCCTCTAGTTCTTACCTAGAGAAGGAAAATGCCTTGCTTTCTTCATACGAATTGCTCATGAAGTTTCAATGTCATGAGGTGTTTGAAGGCCATTGGTGAACTACAAATCTCCAAAAGAATCATGTTATTACTGTTCCTATTTCTGTTGAGGTTCAGGGAACCAAGGAGCCTGGTGTAACTCTTGTTAAATGTGTTGCTCTAATAATGCTGTCCATGGAGAAATTTCCATTCAATTCAACAAACCCTCCAATGAGACGCTTTAGTTTCGGGCATACTTCTTGTTTCTCTAAAGCACTTTGTCTGCAGTGGTTACATTAATGTAACATTTTTTCAGGAATGCAGGGGAGATGTACCTAACTGGTATATAGGTAAGATTTATGGTTTAGATTTTTTCAACTAGATATGGAATCTGGTAAACTGACCTTTCATTCCTCTGTGGTAGAGCTGAAATTTATAGAGTTTCGTTTTGCTTTGGCAATGTGCTCCATAATAAATAAGGATTAAAATGATTAATGCAAACTCAAATAATGTCAATGCTTAGGGTCAACAGCTTGCAGCAGATAATAGATGTCCTGACCTCGAGAAGGAAGAGAGAAAGATTTCTCTGATGAACACTCTGTTCTCTACCTAAAGAACTGTTTTGTTTTGTTTTTCCTACCAGACCTAAAATCACTTAAAGTCAGTAGTCTGTGGACTTTCTCCAATAATTCCTGTGGCTTAAGAAGGAAAACAAAAGCTGTAATGCTCCTAGGTCCTCTCTGGCTTGTGCAGAGAACCCTTGATTGATTCCAGGCTGAGCAGTTGATTTCAATCAAAGGCAGCTTCCAAGCAGGCTCCTGCCATAGCTCGTCAGTAACTGGAGCCCTGCCCATGTGTTCTGAGCTGGAGACACCCAGCAGGCTGGCGCTCACCTGTCTCTCTGGGTGAGCAGGAACTCAAATGCTTTCTTCCAGCATTTGTAATGAAATCCAAGCTGGCCGCTGAGTGGTGGTCCAGGCTGATTCAGGGAACAGGTGTGGGAAGTTCCTCTAGGATTTCAGAGTGTTTACTGTACTCTTGTCTACAGTATGGAGACCATTTAGCACAGTGCCAGCACGCTGGCATTTAGTAAAGCGCTCAATAAATGTTGTTATTATTAGTCATCCTGTATTCCTCGCTGGAGTTGTTTGTGTAAGTTGCAAGCATGCTGCTCCCCAGCGCCACTGTCTTTATATATGTGTATATATACACACACACACATATGCATGTAGATGTATATAAATACATATAGATACATACATATACACACACATATGCATGTAGATGTATATAAATACATATAGATACATACATACACATATATACATGTAGATGTATATAAATACATATAGATACATACATATATATACACACATATATATACACATGTAGATGTATAGAAATACATATAGATACACACATATATACACACACATATATACATGTAGATGCATATAAATACATATAGATACATACATATATATACACACACATATATTCCTTTTCTGATTCTTTTCCATGATAAGTTATTATAAGATATTGATGGGCTTCCCTGGCGGCTCGTTGAATATGGTTCCCTATGCTATACAGTAGGTCCTTGTTGTTTATCAATTTTGTATATAGTAGCATGTATCTGTTAACCCCAAACTCCTCATTTATCCCCCCTTTTCCTCTTTGATAACCATCATTTTGGTTTCTGTGTCTGTGAGTCTGTGTCTGTTTTGTAAATAAATTCATTTGTGTCCACTTTTTGGATCCCACCTGTAAGTGATATGGTGCGATCTGATACATGTTCTCTGTCTGGTTTGCTTCACTTAGTGTGATAAGCTCTAAGTCTGTGCATGTTGCTGCAAAAGAGACATACGTGAAGTGATGTCTTCCCTTCCTGGTCAGTGCAGCACTGGAACCTTCCATCGGGTTTTATAAAGTGTTAAGTGGATTGCTGTGTGCCACTGCTATTCTAGACCTCAGGCATTGGTGGAATGGAAGAGAGAACAGAAGTATAAGACACTACTGCATTTAGAGAATTTATTCTCTTGGGGAAAATAGGCCCATCATGCATGCAATGCATTTTAGCAAGAATGTAAGGCAGATTATTTTAAAAAAAGGCCAAACTCTGTGGAATATAACCTGTGAAGAGAGTAATACGTCAGGGTAGGGCAGAGGTCAATGCTGGCTGGAGTGGGAGAGGATGGTGTGAGGACTTGAAGACCCCTGACGTGGGAGGCCTGAGGAATGGATCAGCGTGCAATGAGAGAAATGAGAAAATTACTCAGGGACTGTGGACATGTTAAGCTGACCTTGAAAGCCCATCCGTTGCTACTTGAGCTAGTTGGACAGGCTTTATATCATTACAGAAGGAATTTTAAAAGACTTATAAATGTCTGGAATGTTGGAAGATATTAGAAGTAGCAACTAGGCACATCTTTTTTATTTTTGTTTGAAAATATTTAGATTTTTTAAAGCCTTGGGTTTTATGTCTACCCTCTGAGAAGCCTCATAAAGTA